TGTTTGTTATTTAGTATCTGTCAAATTTCGTTTAAATCATGTCTTTCATTTGTGTAGTGTATTACAATGGTACAATTAACCAAACTGCTAAGGGTTGTTCATTCGTGGGTTGTCATAAAACAATACGTATTAGTCGTGGTATTACGAAAATGCCATCTTTTTTAAAAAAAACTGGGTGTTACATGAGACTAAATTGAAAATTTAAAATATTATAAAGGACCAAAATAGTATTTTTACTATTGATTAACGTATGTCTACCGTTAAGACATTATTATTTTCGTGATTACAAAAGGAAAAAAATATGTCACATATTAATTAAATAGTTATTGGATAATAATGATATTGGTGAGAAATATTTCACTAGTTTTGTTAGTAACCAAGTTTTATCAAAAAGAAAAAAATTTAATTGACCACCTTATTAGTTCTTACCATATTGTTTTTTCAAATTTTGAACTCAAAATTTTGTATAAGGAGATTAATCCAGTTCTATTCAAATAAATAACTTATTAGTATATAGATATTAAATATTTATTGAATTTATTTATGTGGGCTTAATATATTCCTTTTAACCAAAATTAATTTATAAACACTAGTATTTTAGTATGTTTAAATTGCGCATACATATTTATTATATATAATTAAAATTTATATTATATTATATATATATATAAATAAATATTATATTTTGATATATATATATATATAAAGTTTATATAAATAGTTATTTTAAATATAAAAATTATATTTTAGATTAATTATAAATAATTTATATTATACTACAAAATTATTTTTATTTATTGATAATTTATTTTAAAATATTAATAGTTAATTTATAAATAATTATGATAATTAAAATCCTAATTAGACAAAAATTTTAAAGAATTCCTACAAATTTTTTCATTAAAATAAATTCTTAAAAATACTCTCTTATAAGATAATAATTTGTGTTTAAATATAATGATTAATAAATAAAAATCAAGTTTGATAGAAATTAATTTTTTTTACATATTCTTTTATCGAAAAATAAACCTTAAAAATAGTGTTACATAAGA